CAAACATTATGCACAATGTGAACAGGCAACCATTATGCACAAGAACCATGCTCCAAAGATCAACCATCACAGTTACTTGCTGTCTAAACAGGCAACCATTATGCACAACGTAAACAGGCAACCATGACAGTTACTTCCTGACTAAACTGGCAACCTCTCGATTGTTCCGAAATTCATGCATTATTTCATCATCTCTAAAGCCTTGTCAATAGCACTGACAAGTTCCCGATAATACAATACTTGTCTTCTAATGCATCTACTAGACCATAAGCAAATCATGTTTTGCTTGTACTCATCCTCACATCATTTGCACATGGATAATCTCCGAATTATCAATTTGATTATATATTTCCAGTACCTTCAAATTATGAGTTGTCTTGTCGTAATGCATCTGATCTTATATTTTTGTAATCTTACGCATGTGAAAATCCCAAAAATTTCATTGATCATGAACACTTACAATCTTACATTCTCCACAAAATACAACTTTTACATTCCAAGTCTAGTCAATCCTCCATGTAGTGTTATTAGCTTCAAGTTAAGCTTGATCATATGTCTCTTTGATGTCATCATGTTGATATAATATATGATTCTAGTACCTTGAGCATCCAACCCAGTCCATTTATAGGTTAATCTCTTAGCTTTAATCAACTACATATACACAAACATGTCTCCTTTAAATTTCCATATAATGCCTTAAACATCTTCTATTAAAGTAGAAAGACTCTGATCATCCTTGAATTTTACCTTAGCTCCAAGTCCGTTCTATCTTCAAAGAATTTATTACACCCCTAATATTGCTAACATCCAATGCCTACTTGTTAGTGTCATCGATACCCTTAATTTCATCAATATTAGTACACCAACTTGTCCCAGAGCATCATGGCTTAGTTATTACCAACACATCCTATGAAAATTGGAGTATCCTTGTATACTACTAATGAATTAGTGAAAAACATCCTAGTTCATATGTAATCATGTACTCATGATTAGCATAGTACTTTTGAGCAGCGTTTCCTTGATTTCATCAACATTTGATTTGACATAACATTATGGCCTTGAACATCCAACCTATTACTCTCTTAATATCTCAGCCTCAAATTACTTAATCAAATACATATTGACATACCTATCTCACTTTAAAATTCCCATACTATGCCTTAAACATCTACTAATTCTCGGTCATGTATTTACTTCATTCCAGTACTACTAATTTTCAATCCGTGAACAATTTGATCACAACTTCTTGATCTTTTAAACCTTCGAAATATGTTAGCTCCTCATATTTGCATTTAAAACTATATTACAATAGTCCAAGCATAGTAACGAAATCCCCAAATTTCCACTAATCATGAACGATTAAAGTACGATATTTGATCATTCAACAAACAATAATCCTATAATCCTCTAAACTTTGCTTCCACATTCAAACTTGAGTTCTTATACCTTTTCTTTTCTCTAAAACATTAAGATCATCCAACCCATTTGTACGTCTTTTTGGTATCATCACCATATTAATATATAGTACAACCTGCTTCTAATATTTTCCTTTATTTTCTAATATTTTCCTTTATTCTCATAATCAAATACATATACACATACCTATGTCTCATTTAAATATTCATAGCATGCCTTAACATCTCTAAAGCCGATTTTGTCGTAGTGTATGACAATTTAGAGTAGCCGTACATACTAGTAATGGTAGTTGGTCCAAATAGAAAGACTTTCATGCTCTAATTTTCCGATTCGTAGGGCTGATCAACTTATTAAACATACTACAATCGTAACATCGAACACATACTCATAAGGTCATTAATTTCCCTTAAATTCATCCACATGTGATGCTTACTTCTCTACCTGTTTCAAATATCTTCGGATACCTTGATCAGCATCCAACCCATTTCATTGCTCTTAGCTTCGAGTTACTTACTTAATCAATACTCAAAGTAATGTACTGTAAAAGAC